AGGAAGATGGTCTAAGTTCTTTCCACCATAGCATTACACATTCACTAAGCCAATAAGAACATTTATGATGTCCCAGGCAATTAAAATATCCCAAGAAAACAAAGTGATAATTTTTTATTTTACCATTATATGACATTTAACCTACTTTTGTCAGTCTTTATACCCAATCAATTCCCATCAATTCAGTATCCTATGTAATAAAAAGATAATATGCAAATTGACCACCACACCCTCACACAAGATGGCTGTCCCTATGTGGTCACAAGATGGCCGGCAGGGGAGGGCAGTTATGGGCGACCAGGCCAGCAGGGAGGGCAGTTGGGGGCGACCGGGCTGGTAGGGGAGGGCAGTTGGGGGCGACCGGGCTGGTAGGGGAGGATAGTTGGGGGCGACTGGGCCAGCAGGGGAGGGCAGGTGGGGGCAACTGGGCCGGCAGGGGAGGGCAGGTGGGGGCAACTGGGCTGGCAAAGGAGGGTAGTTAGGGATGACCAGGTCAGCAGGAGTTGGGCAGTTGGGGGGACCAGGCCTGCAGAGGAGGACAATTAGGGGTGACTAGGCTGGCAGGGGAGGGCAGTTAGGGGCAATCGGGCCAGCAGGGGAGCAGTTAGGCATCCGTCAATCAGGCTGGCAGGGGAGTGGTTAGGGGGTGATCAGGCTGGCAGGCAGAAACAGTTAGGGGCAATCAGGCAGGCGAGCGGTTGGGAGCCAGCAGTCCTGGATTGTGAGAGGGATGTCCGACTGCCCGTTCAGGCTCGATCCCTGTGGGACATCCCCCAGGGAGTCCCAGATTGGAGAGGGTGCTGGCTGGGCTGAGGGACCCCCCCCCCCCGTGCATGAATTTCGTGCACCAGGCCTCTAGTCTTTATATATAAAACCCTAATATGCAAATAGACCAAACAGTAGAACAACCAAACAACTGATCGCTATGATGTGTGCTGACCACGAGGGGGCGCGTGTGGAACATGGCAGGCGTTGGCAGCAGGTGGCAGAGTGCATAACATAGCAGGCATTGGCCGTGGCGGGATGGTGGAGCAGGTGAACGGGGACACCAGACCAAGGCAGGGAGCTGGTTGCTGTCATCGGGGTGAGCCTCTGGTGGTTACTGAAAATTCTTTGTTCCTGAGCGCCACAGTTCTACCGAGTGCTTGCACCCACTGCTGGCCCAGATCGCCCCTGAGGGCTTCTCCACCTCCCCCTGCTCCTAAGGGGCGATTGGGGCAGCAGCCTGCTGCCAGTGCTGGCCCCTCTCACACTCGCTGCTGGCGCTGGCTCCAATAGCTCTGTGCCGTCAGCGCGTGGGAGCGGCGGCAGGAACGGGGCTGCCAGAAGACAGGGGACCAGGGGCCGTGGTGGGAGGGGCTGAGCGGGGGTGCAGAGGATGGGCTGAGACCCGCATCTATGCCCACCGCAGCCTCGGGGCCCAGAGTTTCTTTCAAGGTGCACAAATTCGTGCACTGGGTCCCTAGTTTTATTATAATATTTATTCAGTATGAGACCTAACCTTTAACCTGGGGTGAAGAGTTAAAATGACATAGCTAATACAGAGTGCTCTTAACCCCTAGGCAGTGTGACAGTTGTTAAAAGCATGGTCTTTGGAAGATGGATCTTGGTTCAAAATTTAGAGAGTGAAGCTCTGAGCTTATTACACTGTATACATCTAATATAGTACCTATTCTATCAAGCTTTTTCTGCTTTAAGACTATCTTAGGGCAATGTTCCAAAGTAGGATTAGAGACATTCAGAAGAGCATAACAGTAGCCCTCCTTATCTGCGGGGGATACATCCCAGACCCCTAGTGGGTACCTGAAATCGCAGATATGTCATGTTTTCCATTTAAAT